AGCTGAAGATATTAAATTGAACCAATGATGGTCAGACTGACGAAAACTACGAGAAAATAAAATATACTTTTATATTTTCTCAGCTTGAAGACTCAGTTCTTCAGGTCACACAAAGAACTTACAGCTGTTCTTGTTGGAGCTGAAGTTTCACACATTGTCTTTGTTCCAGCACTGGCACAAAGACAATGTGTGAAACTTTACATGTAAGTGGATAGGGACTGAATTCAACCATAACCTCATGGTTCGTACTGTTTTCATTATTGTGAGAACATACAACCATGAGTGTATTAGAGGCAGGCATAAATGCATGCTGGGAGGTCTGCTAATATGCTGATCATGTTTCTTTAGAAACTTAATTCGGTGTGTCGATTGAACTATGTACAGTACATTCATTCAACTCATCATTTCATGTCAAAAAACAAGTTATAAGAACTCATTGTTATAAGTTCTGTAGTGGTCTGAAAATAAACACTAGAAAGAAGTTAAATTAACTGGAAATCAATAAAACTTGTATTTATGTATTTATGTTCAGTTGGAGGGCGACCTGCAGGGTCTGTAGATAAAAACGTCTCATTGTAACGTAAAAAACCCAACAATTCCTTTATTCAGGTCATTGTACACTAATGAAAACATACCTATGAATATTCTATTCTATTCTATAAATACTACAAAATAACCCCCCCCCCCCCCAAAAAAAAAAAAAATCATTCTTTGGTTGATCTGGTGATTGTTATTTAGCTTCAATTTATCACTAAGGTTGGGGGGCCACCTTACATATACAGTCAATGGGGCCCACTGCATTACTTATGGTGACAAAAGAGAGAAGAAATAGGGAGGAGGGGCCTCCGAAAACCAGATGTGGTCTAAAAAGGGTAATGACTTTTAAAGAAATAAATTAACCCAAGAGGTAATAAATGTCACTCTGAGATAATGGCCACACTGGTGAGAGTGCAATGTTAGACTATACCTGAACCCAAAACTCTAATCCACCGACATGTGTGAGTGTGGAGCTCATTACTAATAATTCATTACTAATTAAATTCAAGCACTTTCAATTGCTGATCCAAATTAGCAAATGAAACGTGTCATTATGTTGCATAAAAGAAAACACTGGACAGTGATCCCTCATTAGAGGCCTTTATGAACCCGGGGACCGTGGTCTCAGGAAGACTAATGACTCCAGGACCGGGTGCAGCTGGGCCGAGTAACTGTTGAATTATCACTGAGCCCAGCGCTCTCATGAATGCCAGACTGAAAGATTGTAATGCAAGCCGGATGAGTCACAGCTGCCCAGAGCCAAGGATGAGTGTACTGAAACACAAACACGATGTGCATACACTCGCGATGTGTAGAGTCTTCTGAATAAAACATTGAGGGGTTTTGGACGGCAGAGACGTCTGAATATGTGGTCTAAATGTGAGTTTTGCTGCATGCAGAGTTTCTGAATAGTCTGAGCTATTGTCCTGTGTACTTTCTGAACAAACAGCAGACATCTGGCCTTCAGCAAAGAACTGCTTACTACTTAGATTGTTACTCTCACTCTCATATCTGAAAATTAAGCTACAGTAAGGAAGCGGTTATCTTAGCTTAGCAAAAAGACTGGAAACGGGGGGAAACAGCTAGCCTGGCTCGGTCCAAAGTTAACAAAGTCAACACCTTTATATCTCTTTTTTTCATCTGAAGTCATTTTTTGCATTTTAGGTTTTGTATGGATGAAACAACAATTATTGATTATTAGAATCATAGCACGCCTTCCCAACTTCAAGACTAGTGCATATCACACATTACAGACAATACCGAGACGAAACAGACCAGAGAGGGCGACTCAACCCTATTTGAAGTTTCAGTTTTGCACAGATACAGTCTGTAGAAATGTCAATTACATTTCAGAGCCTGTAGTTTCTCGCTTTAACTTGAATAAAGAAGTTGAATCAGTACTTCTACTTTTACTGGAGTATCTGTACTTCTGCTCGAGTAAAGAAAATGTGTGTACTTTCTCCACCTCTGCAGGAGAGTAAAATCTTACTTCTAACTGTTTAACAAACATATTTCCCAAAGTGTCAAACTATTCCTTAAATAAAATGTGGCGTCTAGTATTTTTCTGTGTATTGACAGGACTGGAGGAGCATTTGGAGCTGCCAAAAAAGCAGAGGAGGAAGAGGAGAAAAAGTAGATGAGAGAGCTCAATGTTTGTGAATAAAGTTGTTTTTGTATTAGAGGCTTATGAATAAATAGTTCAGTGAATCGAGACAGTTGAGACGGATGCAGCGCTTCCATAAAACCAGGGAAGTGGATGAAGAAATGAGGCACTCTGGATTCTCAGTCTGAGTGTCAGACTTAAGTGGGAGCACACATGAGAGGAGAAGTAATTACCGAGAAAAATACGAAATGAAACAGCTCCTGCTGCAAAGTCAGTGGGACTGTTTGTCTGTGATGGGGGATGGCAGCAGATTTGGGGAGCAGCTGTGCTGGTTAGAGCCCAGTCGCAGGTTAGTAATGTCAGGGGACAGAGGAGACAGCCAGCAAACAGCCTATTACTCATTACTGAGTGATGAAGTTCTCTTTCCAAAGCTACACCTCTCATTATCAAAATACCAGACACTCACGCCTCAGTAAGTACCCATGCTCATCTCCACAGACGCTTATGTGTCTCCAAATGCATGTATGTACATGCTGCGCGAGCTTTGCTTGTCTGATTTTGTGACATTGATAGAGGAAAGCAGAGTAGGACTAAACAGCCAAGGCTCACAGCCAAAATGCCCTTGTAGGTTCGTATAAAAAATACCAATCAGATTTAAAATGAGCAGAAATCCCCCTGATAATAAAGAGAGGCTGTTTTGGCATTTCGTCCTGCTCACATTTATTTTGAATTGCGAAACATTCCTGTGTAGATGTGATGGCAGTGTCCCTGGTGGGCTGCATAATTTAATTTGCAGGATGCAGTGAATAGGGAGACTCTTCCCACTGCATTGCAAAAACTGTTTTTGATCAGAGAGGAACCCCGCACGCAGCCTGGAGCGAGAAGAAAACGCTGTCACTGTGCACCCAACACAAACCACTGCAGCAACACAAACCAGGCCAGCTAATGTAGTAAAACACTCGAGAGTCAAGTGGAAAACCTATTGGTTGGGAAAATGGCAGCATACTCTCTCCAGCAGTGGCAAAGCGGAGTGTGACATCTGGTATAGCATGACTTAAAGCTTAGCTGAGCAAATTGGGTGTTTATTTAACGATATGCAATGCCAACCTATTACATAACAGCCAATAAAATCTGCCCTGAGAAGGAGAAAAATCCCCTGAAGTGTTACATCACAAGGGCAAAAAAACGCAAATGTTCCACCTCCAAAATGCATGTGTGTGTGTGTGAGCTGCATGTATTAAGTGTCTAATTGGAGAGTGTGAATGACGGCAGACTGTGAGCCTGTGGGTCTGTACCTCCTTCACTCTCTGGATCATCGGCTGCAGCCAATCAGTGTTGACCTCGCAGTGGCTGTCCAAGAAGGTCAAGATGGAGGCCGAGGCCGTGTTGGCTCCTCGCACACGTGATCGGATCAGACCTGAGGGGAAGCACAGGGAAGAAATGACACTGCAGTCCGGAACAGGTCAAATATGGAGCATTTGATTAAATTGGATGCTGCTTCGCTGCAAGTAGGGATGTTTTCAATGGCGAGGGTTGCAAAGGGACAGCTGGCGTGAAGCTAAAGCCCATTGTGGGTCATTATTAAAGATGCACTCCACTGATTTAACATGTCATAGTCAATTTACAGGCCACAATGACTGCTCCTCTGCCTGTGAACAGCAGTATAATATCTTCTGTGGCTCTGTAACAGAGGCTTGTTCTGTTTTAAGCTGAGATGGACATGATTATTCAGGGATGAGTTCTGATAGCTGGTTTTATTTTGGTAAAATACCCAGATTTAAGATCCGTGGCAAATTAATCCCTTAAAGAATCCTTCATTCACTATCTCTCTTGAATAGTTTTTTGTTTTTGTTTCTTTGAACACGTTTACCAAAGAACTACCAGATGTAACATTAGCGGGGGGCGTACTCCATGTTAAATTATTTATGACTCGACCGCAGCCTACCGCCGGTGTTACACCATATTCTGTGGCTTGCATGCAGAAAAATCTGTGATTTCTTTAGATATTTGCTGAATGATAAAGTAGAATCAATATTATTTCCACTGTGTTGTTTTATCTTTCATTTCTACAGCTTCTGCAGCAGTAGGAAGCTGTTTTCCTTCAACGCAAAAGGGAAAATTACTAAATATACGATGAAACTCCTCCAGCCGTTCAGCACGCCGAAACCTAAACGTACCAAAACATTAGGGCTCCATTCAGTACAACAAACTACCTAATAAGATTTAAAAAGAGATTAAAAATGATTCAGATTTGATTAAATGCTGTATAAATAAACTTGAAATTGGAAACTTGGAATTGAACTGAATTATCTCATCTCCATCATGGAGACTACAAATTTATAACAGAAAACCTTCATTACAAACTTGTTGCAAGAGTTTGAAACTGAAAGACGTGGGCATGTACCAGGCAGGGTATTACAAGTAACCTTGTTTAAAACTACATTTCTGAATATTTCAACGTGCTGCATCAAATTTTGACCATTCGTTTTATAAACCGTCCCCCAACTTTATAAAAGTCCCACACTAAATGACCAGAGTCAGTTTTATTGGTGTTGATTAATGCAGCCACTGTCTCTTATTCACTGTCACTTCCTTTGTTTTACCAACAGTACTTTACAACAAGCAGAACAGAGTGAACCTACTTCAGGTACGGACTGTAGGAGGACAAAATTATAGAAAAGGTGCAGTGAGTTTTTTCCAGATGGCTGCATTGCATTCTGGTCTACTAAGATGACTGTTGACAGAAACATGAATCTCTCTGCCTCTACAATAGATTTCTCCTTTATTATTTTCTTTCGTCTTTATCATTGAACGTCATAAAACAGAAAGAAACTGTTGATCTTTGATTACAAGTGACTCACAGCGTGTTTACAAGGGATGTTGTTAAAGGTCTTCACAGGTCACATTGTCTCTGTTTCATATAAAAATAATATAACATCCCAGTTTTTTAAATCATTATCAATTTCCTTTTAAGTTCTAAACATTTGGAGACCTTTGCTCATAAAATAATTATGTTGGTTTGTTTTTTAGAAGGGAATTGTCTGTTTCTGGGATACTTAAATGCAACTTTTAGGAAAAGCTTTTAAAGATTAAACAGCACTTTGAAATGAAAACTGTTAATTGGATTAGTCTGAAGTAGATATCAGAATGTGTCATGCTTTTTGCCCTACCAACCACTTGAAACTGCATATGAAAATACAAAACAAAACTTTTTAATTTGGAGCTGAGAGTATAATGTGTTTTTAAGGACACCAAGAACAGAATTGCTACAGGCAGGGGAGGAATGGCAATAAAGGCGTCTTTCTTCATCCAAAGTGTGACTACAATCACAGTCAGTTGTATTAACACACAGAACTGTGGAGGAGGTTAATTGTCTTTCTGCACCATTTACAGTTAATTACACAAATGCATCTCATCATATAAAGAGTTCATCATTAAAATAACAGAAACTTGTGAAAGTATTTGAAAAGCTTTTTGGGATTTTTTTAATTGAGTACAACAAGCAGCAATGGAGTCTAAATGTCAGATGATTATTAATGTGAAATCTGATTCATCTGTAATAAACTTAATGCTTGGTCATGTTTCTCAGATTCATTTAGACGATTAATTACAGGTTATTTTTCCCTTCCCCACTTGAAGTGTCTGCTTGTTTATTATAACTGTTAATGCTCCCGCCCTTTATGACCTCGGGCAACAGTTTGACACATTAAAGGAGAGAAAGTCAACGATGCCTGAAGGTGTGACTCCATTAAGAGCTGTGTGTCAGTTCACAGCAGCAGGGACAGTCCTCTTTTATGGATTATTGTACATTTTTACCTGACAAAAGCTAACGAAAAGATTAAACTTGAGGGTTAATTCTGTTTTAAAAGTAAGTGAGCTCAGTGAATCGTTGGCCTGAATCCAGTATGTGCATGTTTTGTCAGCATGTGGTTCATAAGCCCAAACAAAGTCTTTGGTCTGCTGTGAGAACACAGGCAGCGACCTGTAAGAAGGATTATTGTTAAGACATCCAGACAAATCAGTAACACTGGTTCTTTTGGTTTTTTATTTGGCTGAACTTTCTTGTTTTGTGGGTCGAGGATTTAATCTAATTCAGGGATTAATTTAATTCAATTCAGAAACCTCTGGGAGATGACTCAAACAATGCTTTCATGTTTTTTTCCTTCTTTTGAGGATGATACAGTAAAATTGTCACATACTTGGTAGCGTTGGTATAGAAATTAATTTCTCATGTCAGCAGGAAGTGACAAATCCAGATGTACCATTATGACTTTTCTCTTTTTCTTTGGTGGAGGCCGTCCCTCTGTCTTAGCCATGTATGCTTTGGTTGTTTTCTGTTGATTAAGACTCTGATATAGTCTGAAAACTATCGATTTAAGTCATTTATTGAGCAAGAATGCCAACACTTTTTTCTTTTTCATTGTTTCCAGCTTCTTGAGTCGAGGTGGATCCAGGCATGGGGCTGACAGCTGCAACCCCAGTTTGGTATCAAATGCTGTCAAATTGAACCCATTCATTTAGATTATTTTAAAAGATAATGTGTGATGTGGCTAAGTTAGATGAAAAGAAGACTTTTATTTGGAAAAAGATTTGGAAATAAAACAATTTATTGATTTCTAAAGCCACCTTTATATATTTTTATTCAATGCTTCACTACTGTGCCTCAATCATGTGATGTTTTTGTTTTTCCAAGCAATTATTGATATATGTGATTGTTTTCAATGAAATCTGCATATATTTCTGTCACCCCTTATTGACTCCATGCAACCCCATGAATATTTATCTAGATCCGCCCCTGTTCTTAAGTGTAATGATTGAAACTTAATTTAATATTTTGTCAGACAGGCAGACTCTTGTCAGACTCTTTGAAAACGTCACCTTGGGCTCCTATAAATTGTGATGAAGTTTACAGTTTTCTTTGGAAATTACATTAAAACTGTTTTCTTTTGTCTATTTTGGTCATTTAATTTTACTTTAATTGATGTAACTAAAGACAGGTTTTATTTTTCTCCTCATTATGTTTTTAAATGTAGTTCTCATGCATTTCTTTGCTTTATGTAAAGTGGTTTCAGTTGCCTCTGTGCTAGAGCTGCACAATTCTTTTAAATATTATTGAAACTGGGAGTGTAATATGCAAATCTCAAGAGCTGTAATGTTTTGATAAAGGTGAAATGTGTGTGCTGCAGAGCTGCCCTGGTCTCTTAAGAAAACATTTTAATAGTTTCTTTGGGGGGAAAATTCAATTTGTGATGTATATATGATGTTTGTGCCAAAAACCATACCCTCGTCCCTCCACACTCACCCTCTCTCCGTCCGTTCCTCAGGCAGCGCACTTTGGGGATCTGAGAGAGCAGCTGGCAGTCCTCAGCTGGAGGAAGAGAGAAGAGGAGATGAGAGGAGGTTATGGTGGAATCAGAACACACACTGAGAAAAACATATCTCGTCTCACAATCTGTCTGTCTCCCAAACCCGCAAACACGCCGCACTGCATGGATTTAGTGCACTTGGGTTCACATTAACTCAATCACACAAGGAGATAGTTAGGCAGATACACATCCTCAGTGAAGGCCACTTAGACCACAGCATAATACAACCTAAACAGTCAGATTAAAACACAACATCCATCAGTGCTCCATCAGAAACACATAAACACAGAAAGCACAGAGTGACTGAGTGCTCAAACAAAAGAGCTTCATTTCACTGGATAATTAAATTCAAAATCCCTTTTCCATAAACAAATTCAGCAAAGCAGCCCATTCCCATCATCCACTCCCTTTCCTGCATGAGCAATCTCCCTGGCGCAGACCTTTTGTTGATGCACACGGACGGACATCATTACAAGCAACATGCAAACACAGGTACACACACACACGCAACACGACACACACACTTGAGAGGATTAGCATTAGCAACAGAGAGTGAGTGTGATCTTGCTGAGGGATTTTGGGTGGATCAAGCAGACCACCTCCCCAGCAGCGATACAGCCGTATGCTGACAGAAACAAGCATGACATGTTGTAATCCACCTTGATTAAATTTGCTGTGTGTGCAAACCTGTTTGTGTGTGAAAACCTGTGTTATTGCATTTAAGCTGCCGTATCGCAAGGGGACCGTGTGTGGCCTTTTGTCTTGTGTGTGTGTGGAGCAAGAAGTGTATTAGTGGCTTTAGTTGATGCTGCCATAAGTAGGGGAACAGCTGGTGTGTGTGTGTTGTGTGTGTGTGTGTGTAGTGAAGAGGTAGGGCTTTTAACTGGGCTCAAGGGAGGAAAGAGCAGAAGTCAAAAGATCACACCACCACTGAGCAGATGTTGTGTATTTTTAGCCAGATTGTGTGTGTGGTCAATATATGTGTGTGTGTGTGTGTGTGTGTGTGTGTGTGTGTGGTTGTTGTGGTTGTGGTTATACATTTAAATGCATGCAAGTGCATAATGTGGGCTACTTGTATTCCTGTTTTGAATATGAAGTATGTTCACGTAGGAAAAAAAGCAAGTATAGTTTCAAATCCCAGACTACATATAAAAAAATACAAATTTAAGTTTTTTGTTTTTATGTCCCATAAGAGCTTCTCCCAGCTGATGAAAACTTAAAAAATGTGTGGAATTTTTTAAATTAGCATTAGTGATCTAAAGTTGGAGTTTGACTGTTTGACTGTAATTTGGGCCACACTGTGCATGATTTACTGTCGGTGAAACACCGTACAATCCATTCATTTCTTGTACGCTAACAAGCCAAAATAGAGCACTGTTAACACTTGGTGTTTACAGGAGTGTATTTTAGTCTTGACACTATTGGAGTCACATGTTGTCGTCTGGACTTGCAGTAAAGATCACTGCCCTTGATTGAGGACGGTGTACTTACGATTAAGGCAAGCCTTAATAGGATTACACTCAGGCAGGACGATCCCTCCCCCTGCTGCTGACCGCCTCATCCACCCGTCTGCCTGCTGGGTCACATCTACTGACCAATAATCTCACACTCTCACTGGCCTCACCTGACTTAACTCCCTGACTTAAATATATTTATTTGTTTAAATGTTTTATATGTTTTTCTTCTTGTTCCTACAGTTGGATGTTTGAGCTTAACTGTGCAGAATGATGTATGTGCAGAGTTTGACTCTAGAAGGATGTTTTCACATTCATCTGCTGAAAGTGGAAAGTTTTTCTGAGCTCATTAAAAATATGATTTTTTAGGGGCGGGACCTACGAGCATGATTGGTATCATCACAAATAGTTTGGAAGACAATCCAGGATCTTTAACTATTTTCCTTTGCTAGTTATTTGAAAAACATATTAAAATCTAAAAAAACAGCTGAGCAAAGCAACTCTTTGTCTGAATATACATGAATATTCCGACAATATGGGCACTTTAAAGGACGACAACAGAAAACAAACACAAAAATGTGTTTTTTGTAATTTTGGTGAACTGAATGCACGCTTCAGTCTGAGAATCTATAATTGTTGCTTATACAGAGGAAGATTTATGCTTTTAAAGTGCGTGTTGTTGTTGTCTGACTTTGAGTTTGAGTCATAAAGAACATAATTTTGTAATAAATAACATTTGTTTAAGGTTGACAGTGAGGGAATCCATTTTCATACAAAAATAAAAATCTTCTCCATCATACCATGTTTTCTCAAATTCTTTCTACCATTTCTCAAATGATCTGAACTATATTGCCTTCATCAAGGTGGTATCTGAGGTTTTTGTGTCTAAAATCACTATAATAATGTTTGGTCTTATGACGGATTTATAGACTGTTTATAAAGAAAACTTACCACCCTGATGAAGCTCGCACCCTCGCTGTGTGTGATCCTAAAGAAAATAATCCGTGTTCATTTAACATCATGTAGTGATTTGGGGGTTTTAGACAAACACGCTCCACCTCCTGCCTTTAAACCGCAACTGAAACAGCAGTTCTGTTTAACTTTTCTTAGTGGGGATCACTGAGACTTCTAATAAAACTCAGCACTAAAGAGTGGCAACACGGGGAGACCACAGAGAAGAGCCAGAGGAAACCAAATAGTCGGCTTATTGGTTCACAGTCAAAACTAAAACCCACAATCTGGAACCAAAGTGTGTTTGCGACGGTTTCACATCGTTAATTAATTGATTTAAAGTCTTGCTCGAGGACAGGAAACTGACAGTTAAGAGGCTGTTTCCATTCTGACCTCACGGTGCAGCCAGTTCAATGTTGGTTCAGGTAGACTGGCCGCAGCAGAGGGAGAATAAACAAGGCATTAGTAAGCTAATAGAGCTCCTGCTGCTAGCGCCGCTGAGACACTACTGTTTAGATGTCTGGCCAGCTCTGACACCTCTCTCTGTGTGTGTGTGTGTGTGCACATAGTGTGCCAGTGCCTGTGTACACAGTGAATGTAGGTCGCTGTGCTGTTCCCACAGACAGAAGATGCATGTGGTGGTAATTACAGAAAGCGCTGTGGACAGTGTAAAGCATGAGCTCATGTAATTCTTCTGCCTAATGCTGACAAAGGGGAATTATTACTAAAATGTGGTTATCCTCTAGTTCCACAGCTACATGAAAATATAACTCGCACTTTATGGCGCTATTAACTGATTTGTCTTCTGAATGTCAAGGTCAATTAGACTAGTAATTTGCATTTACATAAAAACTAAGCAGTTTCTTATGGTGTCATTTCTTCTATTGCCGTGTTGCTAATGTTATTTCCATCCTACAGCAGCGTCACTGCTCAGTTACATAAAAAAGTGGGCGAATCCTCAGGATGCTCTCACCTTCCGATTCAGTGTCTGATTTTCTGTGATATATCTTCAAAGCCACTCCTGTCTCTTGACATTATCCACCACCTACGTTTTTCCTATTATTTGGCTTTGCTATTTGCTGGAACATTCCTTTGACATTTGCATCACACATATTCACAGCAGATGACAGAATGAAAACACCTGGCACACAGGGGACACGGCCACGATTTAGAATACAGACGTTACAGGTCCAAACTCCCTCAGTGACCCAAAGAACCTTGTGACAAGCAGACAGGTCTGTAAAATTATAAAATTCATTTCTTACATTTATTTTTATTTATTCTGTTTAAATTCCTTCATTTTGTTCAATCAGATGTATATTTTTCTATATATAAACAGTAAAATTTGAAGATATTCAGCCATAAACCTGCAATTTTTGACGACAGGGGAAGTATTAAACACTGACATATGTAAATTGATTATAGCTAATATCTTTTAACTGTTTTTGGTCTCCACCAACTCCTGAGGGAAATATCTGACTCTATAGCTGCTAAATGCTCCACTATAGGAATTTAACAATACATTCAACTCACAATGCAATACAGTTCATGATACTGGGTTCACAATACAATTTTCTATTTAATTATGACTGAAAAGATTCCTTTAATATGTTCTCCTTTATTTTCTTTATCTTTTATCATACTTATTTCTGAGGTAGGCTATAAACTGTGAAAACATTGCATATTTCCTTTTCGCACCTTAATAATGATATCGATTCATTTTTCATCACATATTTGTTCTGCGATTTGCTCTGTCTCACAATCTTCACATTCCTACTCCACTATGTTCACCAGCTAGTCGCTAGCTCTGTCTGTCTGCTGTTTGCTCCCGAGCTGGTAGTTCACAGTTGGATTTAAGGGCTTTAGTCTTTGAAGGTAACACAGTCACTTTACTGCTTCTACTCTGTAGCTCTGCACTGCGGACATGTTTGTGTTTGAATCCTTGAAACGTTCACGCTGCTTCTCTCGGGAGACTGAAAATGAGGTCACTCTCACCTGAACCTGGTCAGGAGCTTTTTCTAAATCCGACAGCTACGCCGACCTTTAATAAAGCGGCACAGAACAAAACTTCATCCTCTCTTATCATTTTCTATTTTCACCTGAAATTCTCCCATCTGTCCATCTTACCCTTGCTTCTCTTTGATGAAGGCTACTCCTGTCTGGTTTTATGCATACATTTTCTTTTAGTGAGAACAAAGCTGTGTGCTGTGGCCAAAAATGACCCTAAGGAGAGAAGTGATGGTGAACCTAAACAGTAAAGTTGTGGGGCGTAAAACCAAAACAATGAGCTGAAAGATGTTAAAACGCTCAGTAAATCCGAGGGGAACAGCAGATTCAGCAGATAACTCTCTGTGGGTTTATCATCTTTCATATGTCATATGTAATGTGTGTCCTTGTAAAGCTACAGAGGACAAAAGCTCAGCGGCAGCTACACACAGCTTTTACCAGCAATAACAAAGCAGAAACTCACGGTCAGAGCTGAAGTCATCTATCAAGATTATTTCTTGAATCAGAGATGGAGGACTTCGCATCAGGACACTGAGAGGAAGAGAACAAGAGATAAAGATCAGAAAACATAGTTCAGTGTCATTGTTTCTGTCTAATCAGGCCATCTGTGTCTGACCTCATTACCTTTTTATGGTGCGAAGGAGAGTGGAGCGGGCCTCGTTGTGGAAAGTGATGATGATACTCGTGGAGGGAAGGTCTGCGTCATAATTCAGAGAGGCACACCTACAGAGAGAAGAATTTATCCCACATTACAGAAGATTTAACTTCTTTCTCTGTGTGTTAAGTGTTAAATGGCCTCGGACGTCTGGCACATGGTGGTAGTGATCTCTACATCCTGGACACACACACACATAACGGCAGCATTTTTGGGCAGCTGTGTTGTGCAGCAGTGCCCTGTGGAGTTGCCTCAGAAATTGTTGCCGTAGTGACATGGAAATACCCGGTTGCCAGGCAACTCTTGCACATATTTCTGACCCTCTGCTTTAATCTGGTACCCGTTACTGGGAGCTTTAAGCTCAGGTCCGAAGACATGAAGGTGAAATATCACACACCACTGAGATTCAGTTGTTGTAAACCAATTTACTGTTTGTTCAAAGATACAAAATTAAAAATTAAAAAAAGTAATGAAGAAAAGTTAAGGTTACAAAGAATATACACAGAGGAGTCATTATTACAAGATTAACACTTTATTTTAGATTTATTTGTGTAAATAATGAATAAAATTCTACAGCAGCTTATCAAAAGCAGGGACACTGATGTTGGGAATCATTAATAATGTAAGATACAAAATGTAGACAAAATAATGTAGTTAAAACACTCTCACTCTCTATTATCAATTTGTAGAATTTTTTAGTTGGAATATGTTTTTTTGCAGAATAATTAAACAGTCCAGGTAAAAACTGGTCACAGCAAACACTGCTATAATCATCTACTGCCTCCTGTAACTACTTTATTTGAGCTTGTACCTTGCTTTATTGTTTATTATTCTGTTCTGCAGATGACTCAGTTACATTTGCTCTTGTTATTCAATTTCTCATTTCAGTAAAATAGCACTCAGCCAACCTACACAAATACAGATGAAATAAAAATAAATGAGGTCGCCTGTTAGCAACATTTCTCTCAGTCTTTCATAAGTGAGTTTTTTTTAAACAATATTAGACTGCTGAAGGAGATCCAAAGAAGCCAGATATTCTGCTACACCAGAAAAAATGCATTATTATTGCCCATTTGAAGATTTACAATCTGGAAAATCACGACAGTATTATGGCAAACACAGACAAGCTGAATCAACAAGGAGAAACAAGTTGAAGCAAACCAACAAGGATTTGAAGGCTCTACACTCTAAAAGAGGTTGTTGAATGAAGCGAAACACAAACTACCCCCCGCGTATAATGCCACCTATAACAACCTATAATAGTCACTGTGTTTTTTAATCAATTGAGGCTTTTTAGGCATTCAGTGCACCAAACACAAGGCTGCCCAACGCCAAACTAAACAAAAAACTGTATTTAATTGCGACATTCTTGAGCTTGGATCAGCAGCTTGTCGAGCTGCAAGGTCCAGCTTATTTTGAGCTGAACTCTATTCCCTGAGAAAGGCCACATGATGTGGTTCAAATGAACAAAGCCTCGGAAAAGTAATTAAGACCTTGTATTGGCTTTATTTTTGGTCAAAATAAGTATTAAAAGCATTTAAAAAGACACACAAGAAGGAAAGTCCCATACTTTCAGAGTCATTGTTGGGGCTTTAAGGTCTTTAATGTCTTTATTTGTGCCGGGTTTTTTTTTTACATTTTTATTAAGCTTTAACAGGAGAGGACTCTTTCCTCTCCTGCACTGTAATTACTGTTTTCTATATCTTTCTGTATTTTACTTTGTATTATTGTGCAAATAAAGTCATCTAAACTAATTCAAATCCCTTAAAAGGGACCCCGGATCTTTAAAAAGGAGGGTGGGAGTAATTTCATCATCCCCTGTTTGAAAACTCTTGGTATCTGTATCTTGAAATCAAAGGAAGTGTTTCTGATACATAATAAAATCCCTTAAACCACCTTTAAGTGTACAAGACAGATTTTTCCAAACAACTCCAGATCCACACGCAGCTCAGTTAAGATTAGGTCCTCAATCTACTTGTGCAGGTCAAGCAGACAGACCTCACCTGGGCTGAGGCCTTAACCCGCTCACCTGTAGTGTCGGGTGTCTCTGATGGCTCGCTCGCTGCCCAGCCGGTCGCTCTCCTGCAGGTTGAAGGCGTGGTCTCTGTATGGATCATCCCCCGGCTTCAGCTGCTTCCCTGCGAGGTAGGCCTTCTCGTCGAGGCCGCCCAGCAGCTGGCTCTGCCCCTCCGCCCGCGGGGGCTGTGTCACCTGCGGAGGACATAACAAACTGTGCTTACATGTTCACATCAGCCATAAAATACATGATTAAAGTCAAAGAAAGCAGAAATGATTAAAAGTGAAGGACGTTGAGGCATTTAAATGACGTACAAACACAAAATCCACTCTCTGTGGCTCATGTTGACACACAGAGGAGCAAACACAGCAGCACAAGTTGTTTCTGGTGTCAGCCATCACTTCTGTCAACACACTATTCTTCTGCTATTCTTCTATTATTACAGAAATCACTGCATGCCACATCCACCAAGCGTCCTCATAAAGGGAATGTTTGGTTGTTGTTTGACTGTCTGTCTTAATATGTTCAGAAAAAAACAGACATCATTTCATTTATTTACTTTTAACCTTCTCGACATGTAACAGAGCAACTAAAGCTTAAATTGTTCTGCAACATGTTTGCTGCAACTAAGGCCAATAATTTAGTTATTGAAAGTATTTTATATTATTTTGTAGTTTGCAAAACAATCTCAACACAACCTTTCCACAACTTTCCACATCACACCATCTTCCTCAACAAGTGGAGCGTTTAAATAACAATTTTTTTCTGAACCCTTTAAGGATTTAAACCCTATATTTTAGCAGGACTGCACATAAAGATTATTTTTATCATTGATTAATCTCTTGCTGCTTTTGTAAATGAAATGTTTGGTCTGTAAAAAGTCAGAAAACAGTGAGAATTGCCCAGCAGCTTTTTCCAAGAGCCGAAGGTGGTTTATTTGTAGATATTCAACTGCAGATTGTGAGAAGTGGTTGAAAGCCCTGGGAAAAACTAGACCTTCAGTTAAGATCTTTCTGTTTTAAAAACTGATGAAGCAAGTAATTGATTGAACTCTAGGAAAATATCAAACATTCTCTGCTCCAGCTTCTTAAATTGGACATTTAGTTGCTTTTATTTGTTTGCTATCAGTATCTATTGAATATTTGTGTTGTTTTGACTTTTGGTTTGACCAAACAAGCAATGCGAGGATGTCACCTTCAAGTCTGGGAACATGTGATGGGTATTGTCACTATTTTCTGACTTTTTATAAACTAAACAATAAATTAATTGATCATAAAAATTATTAATATATTGAATAAAACAATTATTGCAGGATAACAAACTGTTGTTTTCAAGGTCAAAAAAGAACAACAAAGATATTTAATTATATTGATATATATAAGACAGGAGATGCTATAACATTTTAGAAGATGGATGTTTGGCATTTGTGCTTGGCAAATGACTTTAAGGATTAATAGATTGTCAATTTCATGCTGATTAAATTTCTGTTGGTAAAGTAATTTATTAATGGTAAATTGACTTACATAGGGCTTTTCTGCCTGAGAGAACAAAGCACTTTACACTTCGACTCTCTCTCACACACACATCGTAGCAAGGTGCTGGCCTCGCCATTGGGAGCAATTTGGAGTTTAATGTCTTGCACAAGGACACTTTAACGTTTGGACAGGAGGTCCAGCTGGGATCAAAAAATTAAAAAGAAAATGAAATTAAAGGACAAATTGCTCGACCTCCTGAGCCTCAGCAACCCAGATCAACAAATAGCAGTTCTTCTATATTCAGGCAATGATTGCAAAGTCTGCAACAAGTCCTCTGGGGTTGCAATCCTGCCGCTCATCTGAGAACGAAACCCTCACTTTTAAGCCAGTCTGAAGAAAAAGCACCAGCCAAATGATTAAAATGTAAATGCTACTTTCTTATTCAGGTCATCGTGTCAGTGCTAACAGGGCAAAATGGGATGGGCGCTCATCGAATCAGAATACACAATTTCCCCCACAAGGAGGTTTAACACTCCTCAGTGGGAGGTTTAAACAGCCAATGAATACATAAAAAGCAGACGAGAGTAGTCCTCATCAAAGGGACAGACGGAAGAACGGCGAGAGAAAAGAGAAAATGATAGGAGAGGATGAAGCTTTGTTCTGTGCTGCTTTATTAAAGGTCGTATAGCTGGCGGATTTAGGAAAAAGCTCCTGACCAGGTTCAGGTGTCAGTGGCCTCATTTTTTTTTTAGTCTCTAGAGAAGTAGTGTGAAAGTTTCAAGGATTCACACACAAATATGCGTTATCTTCACACGCTAAAGCTCTAAAAAACCCACCGCACACCCAGCAAACAGACAAAGTTAGCAACTAGCAGCTGAACATAAAGGAGCATTTAGCATGTAAAGAGTCAGATATTTCCCTGGAGTTGGTAGAGACCAAAAACAGAGCTAAAAGGAGACTAAATATTGGGCTTACATTCATCAGGTAGCCAGAAACATGACTTAATGCTAATGTTGCTCTGTATCTGTTGGATGATTAAATAGCTAACTGTTTGCCATATTGTTTCTGCTGCCCCCAAGTGGCCCAAAAAATAAAGCAGGTAAAGTAAAGCGAGTAAGTAAATGCAGGTTAAAACTGGCCTGGCTAGTAGCTTGATAACAGTTTAACCGTCTATTTATGTGCATTATAGAAGTTATTATCTCAGTGTTAGCAAACATAAAGCACAAGCACTTTAACTTGAACTCTTTAGACACTTTTTAAGTTTCTTAACACAAACTTTTGTTTTCAGTAAATCCTCCTACTGTACCCTTAGTTTGTTTGACTCACTTCCAGTTGTGTCTCTTGGCTTTCAGTTGCTATTACTGGCAATAGATCAATGTTCAAACAGCCTACTATATATTTTGTCCATTTTGGGCCACTGTAGTAACATGGCAGGCTCCGTAGAAGACGACCCGCTCCCTCTTTTGATAAAAACAGCTCATTTTCAGGTGAATATACAGTAATGAAAATATACCTATGAATATTGTATTCCAATGTTTGCCAATAGATTCTCCTAAATGTTACATTTCTATATTTTATTGAGAGTATTTAGCTTGTTATGTTGTTAATGTAATGGGAAAATTGACTCTGTAGTGTAACAGATAGCAAATGAGTCTCCATTGTGACTCTGTTTTGGATGAAGACATTTTTTGATTTGATTTGATTTCATTAACTTTTCATGAGACTTGTCATGCACACAAAGTGCCCAACCCTCATGGGTTTACAAGACACCAAAAATTGCAGTGATAAAATTAAGAATTTTATATTATTATACGGCTCGTCTTAAACTAAATACTCTTTATAAAGTTAATTATTAATAAAACTGTATTATGATGACTTTATTTTACTGTATTAACTGAACTTTATTCATTTTTGTTTTCTTTGTAGCTTTTGGTTGAATTAACAAATGCATCAATTGAGTTCATTAACTCATTTACTTACATAAGGTTACTACAAATCTATAACATCTTCATGGCACCATCATATGTGACTTTAAGTCTCTACATACTTAAACCCAAAGAGAAACCTCGACATCAGTATGTAAAGTTTGAGCATGTTGACTTGAGCATATTAACATTGTCCATAAAGTCCTCTATAAAACAATGAAGATGTTCCACCTCACTGCTTACTTCAAGAGCATCTCCCCTCAAGTGCAATTAAGAAATACAATTTTCTACCCTCTCTACATCTAATCAGTAATTAGATGTGGAGACATATCTAATTACAACACTCTTCTGCATGCTAAAGATGGTTAATTGTAATTTTTAATTAGCAGAGAAACAACTAATTTCACAAGCATTTCACTGCCTGCACAAGCTATCTGAGTACAAGTTCAACAAGTATAGACATAATATATCCTGCAGCACATGAAATGAGATACAGCTCCACCAGTGTCACTCTGCACGGTGCGACAGGAAAACCAATACCCAAGAATTCAGAGTTGATTTTAAAGAACCCTTAAAAGCATCAAGAAACTCACAAACATGCTGAAGACTAGAGGCATATTTCTGTAGTGTGATACTACACTAGCAAGCAATATTCACTATCATATGTGAACATGAACAATTAAAACCTATTTATTGACATTCTCCAAATCAAAGATACTAGCAAGGCTACTTATATTTATTTAGTCTTTAAAACTAGTGGCAAGAAGAGGAAGTGTTTGGTGTGTTTATGTGATTAATTAATCTCATCTAGGTTCACATCATCATCAACAGTAAACACAAGTAAATAAGTCACTTCTTCGACCATAAGCTACCATCGGAGATGCTCACATTAGATGTCAGAGACGTTTTTAGTGTTATTCCAAAATCTAGTATCTTCTATCTCTTGGTAATCCGCAAAGTATCATCATGACTAAATATTAAAAGCTACAAAAAGCTACTCGGAGGATAATAAGACAGAAATAACAGAAGGCACTCCGAGGCCGCTGAATTAAATATGAAGCTCGTCTGGAAGATGAACACGTCTGCTGGCTCTTTCAAGCTGAGCTATAACAAATCACATACAAGTCAAATCTGTCTGATTGACTGGAGATGAAGCGCTGCTGTGGCTCCGAGTCTGCGATGACAGATGATGGCGTCCCACATGAGGACATATCATATCATATGATGATGTCGTGGCTTTGAGTCCTGTTTCTTATCTATTTACACGTCAACCAGGCAGCCCACCGGGTCGCCTGATTGAACAAGCTCTAAGCTGCTTAGATACACAAAAGAGGAGTGGGACTTAGGAAAGGTCAATTAGACACTTTCATGAGCAAGTTTTATATTTTTTGGATGGCAAACCAAGAGCTAACAGCAATTTATAAGACACAAATGCATAACATTAAATGTATACTGTATGTTTAAAAAAAACCTGAATTTGGGAGAAACGTCTATAAAAAGAGGCACAATAGATCTTGAATATTCCCATTTGGAGTGTTGGTTTTAAATATTTCACTCACTGTAAACATAAAAAACCTAAAGCTACTTAAGGGGAAATAAATTCCAATAAACTTTAAGATTACCAGAACAAAAACAATCCCAGAGGTCAGACACTATATTATAGGAGTCAGATCTTACATTTAAGAGTATAGTTTCCCATCCTGCATGTCACCTTTTCTGTCTCTGCCAGGTGTACGACGTTGCTGCAATTAAGAGTCAGACAGAAAACTCCAATCACAGCTGCTTTCTCTCGCA